GTCACTTTACTTTTGGGTCACTAAATCCTTCTCATAAAATTGGAGTAATTTCATGGCCACATGGTCTTCAGGGCAGCATACAATTGTTCTTTTCTGCTAAATTAGTGCTGAAACACCTTGCCCTTTTTTTTTTTTTTTTTTTGGTACCAAGGATTGAGCCCAGGGGCACTTTACCACTAAGCAACATCCAGCCCTTTTTAGTTTTTATTTTTGAGATATGGTCTTGCTAAGTCGCTTAGGGTCTCATTAAGTTGCCTAGACTGGCCTTGAACTTGTGATCCTCCTACTTTTTCCATAAAAAGATTTTTTTTTTAAAATATTTATTTTTAAGAAGTATTTGGACACAATACCTTTATTTTATTTATTTATTTTTATGTGGTGCTCAGGATCGAACCCAGGGCCTCACACATGCTAGATGAGTGCTCTACCACTGAGCCACAACCCCAGCCCTAAAGAGATTGTTTTTAAATGGAAGCCTGCAACATTGACACATTGCTTCATCCTCCACAGTAACTGGGATGACAGGGGTGCACCACCATGCCTGGCTCCACCTTGCCTTCTAATGGTTCTTATGTTCCAGGAAATCCTCTTCCTGCTGCTTTACTTTCTTGCCATCATTTGTTAGTCCTGTTGAAGCCATCATCCTTTGGTTCTTCATCACTATTGTGTGGGCCACAGCTGTCCCTTTCTGAAGTCTTATTCTCCTTCTGCTTATTTGCCCAAATTGCTGACATGGTACTTTGTAGAATATCTGTATGGGGAAAGAGGTAGTGGCTACCCTTTCTTGTTTTTGCATTTATTTTTTTGTATGAGCTCAGCATCTATAACCTTGCATCCTTAATATTGTAGTGAGATGTGAAGTCTTATACATTTCTTATCTGATGACTCATGATCATGTGAACTCGTCTACAATAACACTTCCCACTTAGAACATTTGCCTTTTAGGATAAAACAGCCATAATAAAGAGGGACAGAAAAAATGGAAATGTATTCTGACACTTTAACTGCTTTTCTCACTGCAAGTTCTATACTTTGGTAGTTTTGTTAATTTTATGCCTTCTATAGACCTGAAATTATGTTTTTGTTGAGATATATTCTACCCTGAAAGAAAAGGAGGAAAAAAAAAAAGACCCACTCAGCAAAGATTTTTTTTTTTTTTTTTACGGAAGTCTGCAACATTGGCACATTCAAATTTTGTCCTTCATCTGCTTCAATTTTGGAATCACACTAAGCATTCCTAAAAAGGACTGTTTTATTCACAAGTGAGGAAGTGGAGAGGGCTTGGAGTCGAGTTCCCTGAGGAGCCACACATGTCCACGCCATCATCAGAATCGCTCCCTGGTTTTCTCCCGTTTCATATCACCTTCTGATGACTTAAAAAGTTTGCACACATTCCCTCAGGAAGTATTCTCAGGCTGATCCACTTATTCCTGCTAATCGGCCAATTAGGTTTTATATTAACACTTGATTAGGGATCCAGAGAAGCAGGGTTCCTAAAAGAAAGAACTCCAAGCTTTGGTTTTATTTGTATTAAAATTTTTGTTTTGTAATATTATCCTAGGGGAAATCAGAACTGTTTTGGGTTTATATTTTCATTTTGGGGGGGCGGGGAGGGGTGGGTAGGGATTGAACTCAGGGGCGCTCGACCACTGAGGCACATCCCCATCCTTCTTTATATTTTTTTAGAGACAGGGTTTCACTGAGTTGCTTAGCGCCTCGCTAAGTTGCTGAGATTGGCTTTGAACTTGTGGTTCTCCTTCCTCCGCCTCCTGAGCTGCTGGGATTATAGGCCTGATGCTGTGCCCGGCTTACATGTTTTATTGTTTTTAAACTTTGAATATAATGGTGGATAGGGGCAGGAAAGAGGAGTCCTCCCATGATCTCTTCAGAGCTTCAAGCTTCCTGGTCTTTCCCCAGGTCTGCCTGTGACCTCCTCTCTTGGAACTGCTCAGTGATCTGTGGACTAGGAATGTCATTTAGTGGTGAAAATCTACAACTTAGATGATTTCTCAGTTTCACAAAATGTGACCAGCTTCCTTCTGTGATGAGGAGGAAGGGTCCAGCCTCATTATGGGATGTGTGGACACTGTGTTCATCTCTTCCAAATCACTCCTAAAACCATGGATTAAAACAGTGGAGACAAGAACCCAGAGCTGTACTAACCTATGTTAAGAGTTTATCTTCTACATTTCCCTTTGTCTAATCCAGTGGATTTCTATTATTCCCCTCCCCAAGCTTTATTGTTTTGGGTTAGCATCCACAAATCAGAGAGAACAATCTGCCTTTGGTTTTTTGGGATTGGCTTATTTCACTTAGCATGATATTCTCCAGTTCCATCCATTTACCGGCAAATGCCATAATTTCATTCTTCTTTATAGCCGAATAATATTCCATTGTGTAAATATGTCACATTGTCTTTATTCATGTATCCATTGGGGGATAAATAGGTTGTTTCTATAGCTTGGCTATTATGAGTTGAGCTGCTATAAACACTGATGTGGCTGCATCACTGAAGTAATTCTGTTTTTAAGTCCTTTGGGTATAGACCAAGGAATGGGATATCTGAGTCAAATGGTGGTTCCACTTCAAGTTCTTTAAGGAATTTCCATACTGCTTTCCATAGTGGTTGTTCCAATTCACAGTCCCACCAACAATGTATGAGTGTACCTTTCTCCCCACATCCTCCCTAACATTTATTGTTACTTATATTCTTTATAATTGCCATTCTGACTAGAGTGAGATGGAATCTTTTCATTTCTTTAATTGCTAGAGATGTTGTATGTTGTCATACATTTGTTGTTTGATTGTATATCACCTTCTGAGAAGTGTTTGTTCAGTTTCTTTACCAATTTATTGATTGGGTTACTTATTTTTCTTAAGTTTTTTGAGCTCTTTGTACTGGAAATTAATGCCTTATTTAAGGTGCAGGTGGCAAAGATTTTCTCCCATTCTGTAGGATCTTTGTACATGTTCTTGATTGTTTCCTTTGCTGTGAAGCTTTTCAGTTTGATATCATCCCATTTATTGATTCTTAATTTTACTTCTTATGCTTTAGGAGTCTTGTTGAGAAATTTGGTTCCTAAGCCAACATGTTGGAAAGTTGGGTCTACTTTTTCTTCTAGTAAGTGCAGAGTCTGTGGTCTAATGCCTAGGTCCTTGATCCACATGTGTAGGGTGAGATATAGAGGTTCAATTTCATTCTATTACATATGGATTTCCAGTTTGCCCAGCACCATTTGTTGAAGAGGCTGTTTTTTTTCCACTGTATGTTTATGGCGCCTTTGTCTAGGATGAGATAATTGTATTTATGTAGGTTTGTCTTTGTTTCTTCTATTCTGTTCCATTGGTCTTCATGTCTGTTTTGGTGCCAATACCATGCTGGTTTTGTTACTATAGCTTTGTAGTATAATTTCAGGTCTGGTATTATGATGTCTTCTGCATCACTTTTTGCGCTAAGGATTGCTTTGGCTATTCTGGGCTTTTTATTTTTCCCAACAAACTTCATGACTGATTTTTCTATTTCTATGAAGAATGTCATTGGGATCTTTATGGGCCTTGCATTAAATCTGTATAGCACTTTTGGTAGTATGGCCATTTTGATAATATTAATTCTGCCTATCCAGGAACATGGGGGATCTTTCAATTTTATGAGGTCTGCTTCAATTTCTTTTAGTATTCTGTAGTTTTCATTGTAGAGGTCTTTCACCTCTTTGGTTAGGTTGATTCCCATTTTTTGAGTTTATTATAAAAGGAGTAATTTTCCTAATTTCTCTTTCAGTTGATATATCCTTGGTGTATAGAAATGCAATTGATTTATTTGTGTTGATTTTAAACCCTGCTACTTTGCTGAATTGGTTTATGAGTTCTAGGAGCTGCCTAGTAGAGTTTTTTTGGGTCTTCTAGATATAGAACCATGTCATCAGCAAATAGAGATAATTTGAGCTCTTCTTTTCCTATTCATATCCTTTTAATTTCTTTCTTTCATCTGATTGCTCTGGCTAGGGTTTCGAGGACTATGTTGAATAGGAGTGGTAAGAGAGGGCATTCCTGTCTTGTTCCAGTTTTTAGAGGGAATGCTTTCAGTTTTTCTCCATTTAAAATGATGTTGGCCTTGGTTCAGTGTTTATAGCTTTTAAATTGTTGAGGTATGTCCTGACTATTCCTAGTTTTTTTTTTAAAGTGTTTTGAGCATGAGTGGATGCTAATTTTTGTCAAATGCTTTTTCTGCATCGATTGAGATAATCATGTGATTCTTGTCATTAAGTCTGTTGATGTGGTGAATTACGTTTATTGATTTCTGTATGTTGAATCATCCTTGCATCCTTGGGATGAACCCCACTTGTCTTTTTAATATGTTTTTGTATGCGATTTGCTAGCATTCGTTGAGAATTTTTGCGTCAATGTTCATCAGGGATGTCGGCCTGAGGTTTTCTTTCCTTGATGAATCTCTTCTAAGATTCTTGACAGAGTTCCTGAGGGGAGGCAGCAGGGGCTGGCCAAAGCCTGGACTGGCAGCCCAGAGTCACCCTGAGTGTGCATCCCAACTGTGCCACCAATTTGCTGAGTGTGAATTCGAGCAAGACTCTTAACATTCCCAGACAAGTGTTTCTTTCATGTACAAATGAGAGTTGGTCCAAGTGATCCCCAAAGCCCCTTTGGCCCCTGTTTCTGCATTTGTACTTTAATAGAGGGAGAAGAAAGAAAGTTCATGTTACAGACCAGGTGTGTGGTGGGGGGGCACCTTACATAGGCAGTGTGCTAAAAAGAGAGCAGGGAACAGTGAGAGCTATACAATGTTGTTGTTGCTACAATTATTGCAGTTGTAATCCCAGACTGCACCTCTGCTGCCTGGGAAGAATGACTGGCACACATTTACTGCGGGAGGCCGATGACAACTGGTGCCAGGCCCCTTGCTTGGACGCTACATCCTTGCTGGTTGTGGGAAACCTCCTAGAAGGAGCAAGTGTGTTAACAAGCGTCCCTGCCTCCTTCTTGCCCAGGGGTGCCCAGAAGATGTGACATCCTCATAATCTACAGCCCGGATGCAGAGGAATGGTGCCAATACCTCCAGGACCTTTTCCTGACCAGTCGGCAGGTCCGCAGCCAGAAGATGCTGACACACCGGCTGGGCCCCCAGACCTCCTTTTCTGCTGAGGACCTGCGCCTCTTCCTGAGCCCCCGCTGCGTTTTGGTGCTGCTGTCTGCAGAGCTGGTGCAGCACTTCTACCAGCCTGCGCTGCTGCCTGTGTTGCAGAGGGCCTTCCAGCCGCCACGACGCGTGGTCAGGCTGCTGTGTGGGGTTCAGGGCAGTGACGAGGAATTCTCGCACTTCTTCCCCAACTGGGCCCACTGGCAGGAGCTCACCTGTGACGACGAGCCTGAGATCTACCTGGAGGCCGTGAGGAAGGCCATTTCTGAAGGTAAGGGTTTCTTCTCTGGTGTTCTATACTAGGGCAAAAGCCTTGTTTCTAGAATTTTCTATGCCTTGCAAGACACAGGACAGGTTCCAGCATGGAGAGCAGCCAGGGTGGAAGGCAGAGACTCAGTTTGGTATAGGAGTGAGGAACGCGGCTGCCAGCCCTCATGCTTGGTCAATTCCATGTTATTGTCACATGACCCTGACATTTCTGATGAAAAGGCGTCCCTTTTGGAGAACATGTTTATGGAGAAGCAGCCCTCTTCCTCTCTGCTGCCCGCCAGCCTAGCTTCTGTCTCTTGCCCTGCTTCTCCTTTTAAAGTGCGAAAATTCCAATCCTTTCTGCCAGAGATAGTAAGTCAGTGTCCCCAGGAAGTGTGACACATGCTCTGATTAATAGTAGCAGAAACCATACCCGGATGGATGCATGTCACGGCCTCTCTTCCTCTTTTGGTCTTCTGGTTTTTGCCTTGCTGTGGGCTATGCATGGATCATCTAGTCTCCTGACACTAACCCAGGAGCTTGGAAAATTATGGGCTTCATTTAACTGTGCCTCAGTGATCCCTGGTGTGACTTGGGCCTTAATTCGACTCATCCAATCCTGACCCATCTGATGAAAATGAATCAAGAATTTATGAATTCTTAGTGACCTTAAAAAGGTAGCGTAGCTTCCCAAGGTGATCTCGTCACAGGAATAGCCTACTCTAAACCCGTAAACATGAGCAGGTCTCCTAACATAGAGCCTTGCTCACTTTGTAATAGAAATGACTGTTAATGAAAAAGATGTCTCACCCGAAATGTCTGGGATCTGGATTGGTAGTTTTCCTAGAGGTTGTTTCTCTTTACTTTAGAGGGACATGATGATAGAAAAAGCACATAATTCATATGTGCATGATGGCATTTCATTGCTGGGGGGAGCTGCCTACACAGACCCAAAGAAGAACACACCCAAATGGTTGTTTCTGCAGATGAGTTTATGTCATGGTAGCAGTCCATTATGACCTCACGGGCAGAATGTGAACCGCCTACCCCTCATTCAGAGCTTCATGGATATATTGTCATTATACTGGCACCTCACACTGGACTCTCTAACGGATTGTTCTTTAAAACATCACAGTGGTGATGTTATTAAAAATAAAGGACTGTGAGTGTAGCCCAGTGGTAGAGTGCATGCTTAGGATGCATGAAGCCCTTACTTAGTTCAATCCCCAATGCGCGCAGGTGCACGCACACACACACAATGTAGTAAAAAGAATTCTTTGAATATTGTTTGGAAGCATCCAGTGATGAAATGCCTGGAAAACTTGATCTCCTCTAATATTTTACTTTTTAAATAAAGACTCTGTCTCAGTCTACTGTGAGCTTTTAACGTCAAGTGTTTCGGAAAGAATGAAATATTTCACAGTGGTGTTTCTGTTCTGAGAACAAATAACCTCTCATCAGAAAGAAATTATTTTGATGGGTGATTAAAATAAGCTGCTTAGTGGGAAGTCTCTACAGTTCAGAATCAATGGCTACAGGGACAAATGAAATTATAGGAAAGAGAAGATGGGTGTGGAAACTTAGGTTAAAGGTGGTTACAGGTAGTCAGGTACACTTTAGTTTTCTGCTGTGTTAGATAAAGAAAGGCTTCTCAAAACTTTTCTGTGCACAGACGGGCCTGGGGATTTTGTCAATGTGCATAGTCTGACTCTGACTTTGGGGTGGAGCTAAAATTCTGCATTTCTCATAAGCTCCCTGGTGCTGCTGCTGTTGGTGGCCAAGGTCTAAACTGCCCCTCTCGTGTGGGGTCAGTAGTCATATACCTCTGCTGTGCATGAATCTTCACCTTTCTGGAGATGAGGCAGCATCCCATCAGGGTAGGGCGGCTACTGGGCATCCATTGGTTTAGGTATAACTCAGGCCAGCGTGTGATGATTAGGTCCCTGTATTCTCTTCCTCTCCTCACAGATTTATCATGTTCACTCTGAGAGTTGTTCATCACTCAGTTCTCCAGACATAAGGGGCCCAGACTTTGAGATGGGGGTACTACTGCTGCTACGAACCTTCCTCTTTTGTCATTTAATAGGCCCCATGATCATCATTACTATTCCACTAAAAATGTTTGGGAGGTTTAACTTTATTTCCCACCCCCTCTCCGAATTTGGCAGCCACCTTAAGATTGAGCAGATGTTTTAATTAGGGTCTTTGGTGGGTTGGAGCAGCCAGCTTATTTCCCATGTTCTTCATTTGTAAAAGGATGAGGTTGGACCAGATGATTGGGAAGGTTTCTTCCGGCTCCTTGTGCTGTAATATATCTTTATAAGTTTTGTAAGAAGATGGCAAATTACCCAGAACCTTTCAGCTGACTTGGTTTAGTTCCAAAATGTGTGCAATGATATATGTCAGTGTGTAGAAGAGTGTACCATTCTGAATTTTTTGGACTTGTTGGGTGATTATTTTCAAATAAGGAAGTGAGAAAACCCCAGGTACAGCACAGCAATTATTTCCTCTTTTACTGGAGCTTTATTCTTTGCTGCAAATCTCACTGGAATACAAAAATAGATTCTGTGAGACTGTGTGGGAAAGGACTCAGTGGGTGATGCTGAGTTTTACTTCAGAAGTTCTCATCTGTTGTTGCATGCGTGTGCTGAGGATGGCGGGAAGCCCTGAACCTACTTCTCCCGCTTTGATTTGGTATTACAGTGGAGATCTTGTTTGCTTTTTTTAAAAAAGTTTTTTTGTTGTTGTTGTGGTTGGACACAATCCCTTTATTTTATTTATTATTTATTTTCATGTGATGCTGAGGATCGAATGCAGCACCTCACATGTGAGCCACAACCCCAGCCCTTGTTTCCCTTTTTCTTTGCATTATTTTATGCTTGCTCCCCACCACCCCCCTGCTCCTTGACCTTTGTGTTTCAGAGCTCTGATGACACCCCAAAATTGTAATGTATTTCACCCTTGGTTCCCATGAAAAATTATGGAGGGAGGTGTCCACATCAGGCCTTCCTTTGTTGATATTAGCATTCTAATTTTCATATTAGGATGAAATTTAAAAGAAAAACAGTAGGGATATTGAAAAATGCTTTCTGCTAATCAAATGGATTCTAAAGTCTTTTCCTAAGTGTATTTATTTATTTATGTTTTTATAGTTTTATTGAGGTATAACAAAAATTGAATAATTCAAGGTATAATTAACAAAAAATTGAATATATTCAAGGTTTACAATGATTTGCAGTAAGTATACACCATGAAATGATTACCACAGTTAAAAATTAATGTGGGTTCTTGTGTGTGTTGGGGGAGGGTAGGACCCTTAATGTCTACTCTTAGCAAGTTTTAAGTAAAAACTACTATTAACTGTAGTCACCATGCTAATCATTTGATCTGCCAGAATTCATTCATTTTATAACTGGAAGTTTGAGCCCTTTGACTGACATTTCTCCCCTTCTTTCTTTGCTCTGGCCCTGGTAGCCACCGTTCTATTATCTGCTTCTGAGTGTGACATTTTTAGTTTCAGGTATCAGTGAGATCATGCAGTACTTGTCTCCATGTCTGGCTTATTTCACTTGACCTGATGTCCTCCAGGTTTATCCACTCTGTTGTACATGGCAGGATGTCCTACGTGTATTTCTTCTGTGTGGGCAGGTAGTCTTACTGCCACTTTGCGGATGTGAAAACTGGGGCTCAGAGAGGTTGACTGCCTTGGGCAAGCTTGGGGCAGCTCACTTTGGGACCTCACTTTCTTCTGTTCTCCATCCCCACTGTCCTCTTGCATGTTGAGACAAGGAACAAGTAAAGTTGCAGAAGAGAAAGGATCAGAGAAAAATGAAGCTTCATGGAGTTCTCTAGACGACAGGCTCCAGAGCTGGTCTGGCCATTGGTGCTGCCCTGGTACCTTGTTTACAGGGCAGGTGCCTGGGCTCCACCCCTGACCTACTGAACCAGAGTTCCTGGGGGTTGGTGCTGGGAATATGAATTTCAGAACGCCTTGGCGTTGGCCCTACTGTACGGTGGGATTTGGGCTCTGCTCCAGGACTAGTGTTCTCTCCTTTGGTTTGAGGGTCGGAGGAGCCAACAGTAACTCAGGCCCTGAGGCAGGTCACAGGACAGTGATCCCCAGGGCTTAGAGTGTGATTGTGGCACGTCATAGGCAGTAACTCATAGAGAAGGGAAGGGAGTCAGACCCTCTCAGCAAAGGGGAAGTCGCTGCGCTCTTCTTGGTGTGGTGGCCTCGTGGATGGTGAGTTATGGTCGACTTCAGGGCTTCTGGGGTGCCTTGCAGAGACCAAGGGGAGAATCTGATGCTGGACCTCTTGGAAATGGACTGCTTTTGTTCTACGGTTCCCCTGCTCTGTGGGTGTGGGTTGCTGGTCTGCTCTTGCTCTGCTGTGGGTTCGTCCACTCTGCTGCTGGCTCTGCACGGCCTCCTTAGTGCTGCTCTCCTCTGCAGGGTGCTTTCTCCATATCGTCTCCCCTTGTGAAATGATCTCTGATTTGGGGAAGAAGATGCCCAGCTGGGATGGCGAAATCTTTCTGTTGTCACTAAAAAGCTATAGCCTGTCCAAGAGTCATTTGGGTTTCCCCTGCTGGGTACCTTGACCTCTTTGTTGAATGGGGGAGGGGAGGATGTGGGGGGTGCGAGGGGCTATTCACGCTCCCGATCGCATGGTTCACTGTCGACTACACCTGAACTGGTTAATGAGGACCGATGCCCACCATAGATTTTTGTGCCAGTGGAAGTTGTCCCTGAGGTCTCTGAGACCCCAGGATTACAGATCTCCTGCAAGACTGGGAGCTCCAGGTGGGGCAATGAACTTGGCCATCCATGCTGCTTCATCAGCTGCCTAGAGATGGGCTTCTGCTGCCTGTTCATGTTCACCTTAGATTTTCTGTGGCCCCTCAAAGAAAGTATCTGTGATTCTTTTGCTGACCGTGTTTGGTGAGCTACATGAAGAGGGGGAAACGCATGCTCAAGTTTCTGCTACTCTGAGAATCTCAAGTTTGTACCTGTCTTCTAAA